CGATTCAGGCCCTGTCAGAAGCAAATTATTCGGAAGTATAAAAACGACCCATACGGTCAATAGACGACGAGGATTCGGAGGGGCCAACCGAACTGAGAAAGAAGTTGAGCTCTTCAAAAGTTAGAGGTTAATAGAGAAAGTACAAAATCGATTTACGTGGAAGCCTTTCGCTAATTAAACAACAACAGCTTTATTGGTTCTCTAAAAACATCTTTTTTCTCATCTAATGAAAGATTATGGGGAAGCCAGTTGTTCGGGAGCCAGCGCTGAGCCCATAAAAGACACTGCTTGACCTGTCTTAACCTTTGCCTGAATTCGAAACACGTATCAAAGAAAGAGAATTCGTTGATGTCGGTCTGTAATAACATGACCTGGAATTTTGTTGATTCGATATAAAAAATTCTATACAGGATCCCATAATCAACCGGCTTTATGTTCTATGAGGGAATCCATGCCAGCCCCACTTGCTTCCCTTGAGAAACCCTGTAGAGAAACATGAAGACATGAGACATGAATAACTAAGATCTGCATTAACATGTACCTTTGTTTCTCTCAAAGGTTTGGCGGTTTTAATCCAATGTAAGACGATCCAAAATCCGATGGAAAAATGTTGCGGATATTGTTTACCGATATTGTTAAACCGTTCCGGAAACACGGCGGATAACCTGTGGTTCCGTTACCAGTTTCGTGAAGTTTCGTTGCTGCGTATACAACGGAACCGGACCACTTTTACGTAAACATAACGGAAACATGGAGTTGCATGTTTCTGCCACGTTTCAGAAATACGGAAACATGTGATTTCGTCCTGTGAAGCTATCTGTATGCAATTTAGCGAAATTTCCTGCCAGGAAAGAAGCGAAAAACAACTTGCTGTAGTACTGTATTATTAAATCAATGACAAAACAGATGAAAAATAAAAATAAAACAAAACAGATGAAACAGAAAACATTTAGCTTACTCGCCGGTGTGATTATATGTGCCTTACAGCTGCCTGTAATAAGCTATCTCCAGCACCCAGACATCGAGGCAAATTGACTGAAAACCTGGATGCTCAGTGACACAACTTATCTGGGTTTCAGGCCCTTGCTCCTTCACTTTACAATTGCCCGATTTCCGTACAGCAAACACTTTCCTGAGTTGTCGGCATTGGCTGACAAGTTCCATACTCGCACCTTTGATAATATTATATAAAACACCCTCTGAAGCTCAGGTTTAAAAAATTTCTGTTGCATTCTTTTAGATTGTACCCTTGCTTTATTGGATTTTCATGTCAAATACAAATAAATCACACAGTAAATTAAATACCAGTCTAAGTTTCCGAGAAGGTCGCATCGCTGTCAATATGTTTTGTACTGTCTTCATGCGGTTCGCTTCGGTGAACCATACGCGGCTCATATTGTTAAGGACGTGGCCCAGACTCTCCTAAAGATTCTGGACTATCCCCTTCGCTGTCATATACTAAGCTTAAGGCATTCGAGTCGCTATCTTCTGGAAAAACATCTTCCGAACTACTGCTACTTACACGAGCTCCCACACTGGTTCTACTGTAAAATATGTGTTGGGCCGATATTTTAGTTCCACGACCGTCTCGCTATTGTTTTTACCGGAAATGGAATTTCAGTTGAAAATGCCGATTTTCTCCTTAAATAAGTCGAATTGGACAAAACGAATTTCAAATTCGTTTTCTACGCAACTTTTTACATAGTATAAGAAAAACATGTATTTTTGGGTTTACATGCCCTTTAAGGCTCAGGTCTTATTTGAAAGTTTTGATCGTCACATTTATTTGGTTGTAGTTTTGTCTATAGTGCTGAATTGTTTTCACAAGTGTGCCTCTCCGACAAATATTGATAAAACACCTGTAACATTTAAATCAACAAGCTCTCTCACTCTAGAATCAACCGAACGAAGTCAATTTAGGAAGCTCGTTTTTGTGACTAAGAATATCCAAACAAAGCATTTTACCTTGAGAGCCCTAACAACGTATGATAAAGATGAGAAACACCAGAGAAGAGAAAGAAAGCAAGAGTGAAAGAAAAAAAATTTGATCAGCTTGTGCGAACAATGCCAAAGTATGGAGATTGCCCAATTTTCATGGCCAGACACAACAATAGACATAAACAGGCTGTCACGTGAACTAGTTTGATGCAGGTGTCGCTAAATGAGGGAAGGGCATTATCAAAATAAACTGTTATTAAATTATTTCAGTTTTGTTCCAAAACAATTAATAAGACCTGGTGTATCCTTACAGATGTGTTATGTTTTCGAAAATTTTGGAGAAAAATCCTTTCTTCGTTTATATTTTTAAAAACATGTCAGCTAGACTCTTGGTATTTACGTGGCTCAATACAATTGTGTCGTGATGAACTCAGCCGGTTGATTGCTTCGCCCAACAGGTAGTTCCATTTACGTCGGAGTCTTAGAATGTAAACTTTGACGGGTCAAAACAGCAATGGTTTTCAATTAAACCTCTGAGGTTATTCGATAACAAAATGCAGTCGAAAACATCTTTTAAGTTTCGAACACAACTTTTCATAACATTTAAGCTCTTCCCCTGTTATTTATTTTTTTGTGTCAAATTGGCGTAGTGGATATCAAAAGAAGACATACAATTCTCCGTTTGAATGATGCAATTTTTGCGTTCGACTTGAAAATTTGCCACTCACCCCACAAGCCAAGGACCACATTAATTGACCGATCGGTGATAATTTCAAATTGAAATTTTTATTAGCGAAAATTTGTTTCTTGTTTCTGTTTAATTACAAACTAAATCATATTTGAACTATAAAATTAAAAAATATGTATCGGGAATATGTGCTGTTGGTGGCTGTGTTTATGCGACTGTTAGACAAGTAGAAGTTTCATATCACTATTTGCTCGATCAGTCCTTGTTTCAGAGCAACCTTAACTTTAAACTGAACC